TGCAAAGGGGCAGAGTTGGGGGCTTGTAAGCCCCATGCCCTAAGCCCAGCAGCAGCACTGGGAGGGCAGGGAAGTGGGACAAGCCCTGGGACTCTGACCCTGCTCCCCATTATGAGCACCAGCTGGGAACAGAGCAAGCCCCGTATCCTAACCCCACTCAGAGCACTGGCAGTGGGAGAGTGGAGCAGGGCAAGCCCCTGTGCTCCAGCCCTGTTCCCAGCTGGGAGCACTAGGTACCCAGGAGCCGTTTCAGATTTTGGAAGAGGGGAGCAGTGGGGGCTGACCGAGGATGGTAGCTTCAGCAGTGTTACTGAGCATGCCAGGTGTTCCGAAGCTGGGCGTTCTGGGAACGGGTGCAACTCTAACATGTAGCAACAGCCTCAGAAAGTTCAACCTCAGTGAGAGCCATACTTAGTTTGTGCCAGGGCTGAGACTGGCTTTAAGCTGTGTGAGACTGAGCTCTGCTTGGTGGGCTGGGGGGGTGAAATTGGCTTTTTGGGCCTCCCATTCTCTCAACAGAGGTCATTCTCTAAGTTTCCATTATAATGCTAAAATAAAGGAAAAGTTATATTTCTGTTCCTATTATGGATAAACTGTTCTCTTAGACTCTGCTACTCTCACTGCCTTTCATCAGAATAAAGAAGTCGTCCTGCTTCTCTTATTACTGGGAGTCTTTTAGAAATGGAAAAAGAGAGAGCACTTTTTTTGAGAGAGAGAATTCACACTGTGGCTGTGTCTACACTGGTAAGTTATTCTGGAAAAACAGATGCTTTTCCGGAAAAACTTGCCAGCTGTCTACACTGGCCGCTTGAATTTCCGGAAAAGCACTGACGATCTAATGTAAAATCATCAGTGCTTTTCCGGAAAAACTGTGCTGCTCCTGTTCAGGCAAAAGTCTTTTTCTGGAAAACTGTTCTGGAAAAGGGCCAGTGTAGACAGCACAGTAGTGTTTTCCGCAAAAAAGCCCCGATCACGAAAATGACGATCGGGGCTTTTTTGCGGAAAAGCGCGTCTAGATTGGCAGGACGCTTTTCCGGAAAAGCACTTTTTGCGGAAATCTAAACGCGGTTTTCTGAAAAAGCTTTTAACAGAAAACTTTTCCGTTAAAAGTATTTTCGGAAATTCATGCCAGTGTAGACGTAGCCCAAGAGTTCACATCTGTAATGAAAAAATTCTAGTTTAAATATCAGAGGGGTAGCTGTGTTAGTCTGAATCTGCAAAAGCGGCGAGGAGTCCTGTGGCACCTTATAGACTAACTGAAGTGTTGGAGCATAAGCTTTCGTGGGCAAAGAACGAGACTTCAGGATCAGACTTCAAAGAGAAACTGCTGAGCTACAGTTCATCTTCAAGTTTGACACAATCAACTCAGGATTAAACAAAGACTGTGAATGGCTAGCTAACTACAAAAGCAGCTTCTCCTCTCTTGCTAGTCACACCTCCAGATCAGCTACTAGAAGTGGGCCTCATCCTCCCTGATTGGACCCACCTTGTCATCTCCAGCCTGATTCTGGCCTGCATATTTATACCTGCCTCTGGAAATGTCCACTACATGTATCTGACGAAGTGGGTCTTTGCCCACGAAAGCTTATGCTCCAACACTTCAGTTAGTCTATAAGGTGCCACAGGACTCCTTGCTGCTTTTGTAGTTTAAATATGACACAAAGGTACAATATTAAGATGAATATTCATATTAAAAAAAAGGTTGTAGTAGGACAAGTTGGCATTTCTGGTATAGTTTATTGCTGAGGAAAAAATTACAATGTCATAGACAAGGAAGCATGGGCATACAAAGCTGAGTGTGAAACACATGGCTAATTATAATTACCATGGCTCACTCATACACTTTGGCTGTATCTACACTGGGCCACTTATTCCGGAAAATCAGCCGCTTTTCCGGAATAAGCTGCGAGCTGTCTACACTGGCCCTTGAATTTCCGGAAAGCAACGATGCTCTACTGTACAAAATCAGCCGCTATTCCGGAAAAACTATTCTGCTCCTGCTCAGGCATAAGTCCTTATTCCAGAACACTGTTCCGGAAAAGGGCCAGTGTAGACAGCCCAGTAGTCTTTTCCGGAAAAAAGCCCTGATCGTGAAAATGACACTCGGGGCTCTTTTCCAGAAAAGCGCATCTACATTGGCCACAGACACTTTTCCGGAAAAAGGGCTTTTCCGGAAAAGCAGCCTGCAAATGTAGACGCTCCTTTTCCGGAAAAATTGAAAACGGATTCCGTTTTAGTATTCCGTTTTAAGCAGTTCCAGAAATTCATGCCGGTGTAGACACAGCCTTCTATTTTGCTGCATGTATAAAATGTCTCCTCTTTTTCCGTGCACCTCCTTTTCCGGAAAAATTGAAAACGGATTCCGTTTTAGTATTCCGTTTTAAGCAGTTCCAGAAATTCATGCCGGTGTAGACACAGCCTTCTATTTTGCTGCATGTGTAAAATGTCTCTTCTTTTCCTGTGCATTATATACTGTCAAGCCCTCTGGTGAGGGGAAAGGGGAAGGGACAGGACCAGGACCATCCCTAGGATTTATGGGGAGTAATATTAAACTGGTACCCCTATGCTGGATGGCAGCTGGGGTGGGAACAATGATTTTTAGAGATGTGATTTTTATAATCTTCAGCAACACCTTACTGAAATAGTTTAGAATGGGCTATAAACTAAGCTATTGTAAACTAACACAGTAAAGTAAAAAACTAGGACAGCATTTACCTGGGGGGTTGGAAAATGCCTGTTAAGTGACATCATTGCCATTTGAATGGCTTCTGCTAATTTGTCTCAGGCTTTTTCACTTTTAAGTTAACTAGTTCCTCTCCAGAGGAAGCAGAGCCAAGGAACAGGGATAGGAAGAGGCAGGTAGATGGACACTAAGACCCAGGAGTGCCCCAAATTTTGGGGTGCCCTACACAGCCATGTATTCTGCATATGGGTAAGGATGACCCTGGGACGAGGGTTAATGAAAGGGGGGCAATTCAAAAGGACCCATGTCTCCCCACCGCTACTGCCGCAGTAGCAGCCACTGAAGTCCCAGACTCTTTAAATCACTGCCAGAGTCTTTGGAGGAGGAGAAGAAATTTGCTTTTATTTGCTCATATGATTTTATTTGAGACTTTGTACATTTTCCATTTATAAATTGCGAGTGGGATCGGAGAGGTTGCAAAGCTGGACATGAACATGAGATGTCATACCAGGATATACACTTTGCATTCGCAGCATTCGTCCAATTCTTTGCCCTTTGGTGACTCGACCGTTGTATTTATAAGGCTTGAAGTAGAACATAAGAGCACAGTAACCTAGAAGGGAGGAGAGGAAAAATAAAAAGATTTAGGAGGGACAAAAGGAAACATCAAACATAGATCGTTATCTGAACTCTTTGGCTGGTTTTTATATGGCAATTTTTGGATTGTCTTCTAATCTCATACTACTGTGGGTGCTAGGAGCATTAGTTCAGTCCAGCCAACAGTATGCAAGAAATTGTGAAAGAGAGGGAGAAAAAAATGATTTTTTTTCTTAGGGCTGTAGACAATGAAAGCAACAAAAGCTACCATTGTTATCTTAGTGGGTTTCAAAGTTATATTTCTGTAATGGAGAGGTTTCAGTCCAGTTACAATAACTGTACATCTCTGTACATATATTTCAAGCTCCCTTTTATTATAGCTCCCCTAACCCTTTTTCATCTTTGTTTTTCTCACTTTAGATCCTCATTTTTCTCCTATTATCAAAGTGGGTGGAGGGATATAGGAGGAAAGAAGTGTGTTACTGGTCCTGTCGAAGGAGAATTTGGCCTGTTATGTTTTTCAGAGTGAAAGAGTTGTACTTTGATATGAATGCAGGAACTTATCTGTTCTGAGTGAAACATGGACATTGACCTATTCTATACCATTTAACTTTACATATATTTACAGTGTGCTTCTTCCATAGTTCTCCAGCCAGTTAGCAATAGAATGTAAATTCACTTAACCTACTATATATGTGAGAGAGCGAGTCTGTCTGTTCAAGAAGTCCCCCGAAACGGTAAGAGCTAGGACCACCAAATTCAGTGTACTGTACAGCTTCTTCTTATCATAACTTATAAAGCAAGGTAAGGATTTGGTTGTGCCAGGACAATGGGAGGTGCCTGGAATTGGATTGCTTCTGTAAAACCATACGGATGTGACAAAATCACCAGGCAGATGAAAGGGTATGGCTGGGGAAACACCTCCCCCCACCTCAGAGTATCCCAATCCTGAGCCTCCCATCACCCAGATGCCCTTTAGAAGGGGTGGGGGGGATGAAGGTCCCCTCTCCCATATCCCGATTCATATGGGAACATTACTGCTGTTCCCCTTCATCAGGAGTGAAGGGAAAATGCACAGTCCGCTGCATTCCTCACTCTGGCTGGGAGGCACAAGGGGCAGATGAACCTGGACCTACCCCAATCAGGGAACATGTACCCCTTCCCCAGATGTGCCCACTGGAGCTGCCACGGCCATGGAGAGATGCTTCTCATCTGTCCCCAAGCTGCTGTGGTGAGATTGGGTTGGGGTTGTCCTCTTTCTCCTGGGACAGCCAGCGTACTGAACCCCTCATCCCCAACCCCACCTCAGAGCAATGATTTACATGAAATATTCACATTTTCATTTTATTTTCCAAAACACAAAACCTAGCAATGTTAAGACCGGAGCTAAATCTGCTAGTGACTTACATTTAAAGATTCTCAAAGATTTATCTATGGGAGCTCAATTACCTGATCCCTCAATCTTGAGGCCGTTATTAATGGCAGTATTCTTTCCACGAGGGTAGGGGGTAGCTTGCTTAATCACACCACTGAAAGGTGCATACACTTCTGATCCATCAGTACACTTTACATCCACTCCTTTGTGTAGTCTGGGTGGTCTGTAAATGTTCAAGTAATGAGACAATGCTGATTAATACATTCATTAGCCTTACCGCGTGATGCTAGGTACGCCATGTAGATAATTAAAGCAACAACGGGGCTCTAGCTACCATTGTTAGCCTAGTGGGTTTCAAAGTTATAGTTCTGCAATGGAGGTAGAAAGGCTTGAGGTTTCAGTCCAGCTACAATAACTGTACATCTCTCTCCCACTATTAATCAGAGCTGGTCAAAAATAGGTTTCGTTTTCACTTTGAAATCTTTTAACTCTTTCTGGACTATCGAGAAGGATTTCAAACAAACAAAAAGAAAATAACACAACCTTCCTCTCCACAGCAATCTTAGAAGCTGGGATGTTTTCCAGTGCTGGGAACGAAACATTTTTGAATTAAAAGTTCAAAATTTTGAATTAAAAGTTCAAAATTTGAGATTTTTGCTTTTTCAATGAAAACCCAGAAAAAATCCCCCCCCCCCAAGGGAAATTGTGTCAAGAAGACAGAAGGGGGGGACTTTCTTTTATTAAATACCTAAAATTGGATAAAAATGGTTTGACCAACTCTGCTCCTCATATATCTGAGCTGTAGGACTGACAGCCATCGCAGGCCCCAGGGCAAGGTGGTGGGGAGAGGGGTGGCTCTGTGCCCCCAGAAGGGACCAAGACCATGGCATCTAACCCTCGTCCTCCCCACCCCATCAGAGATGCATCGAGTGCTGCTTTGGTGGCAGTTCAAAGGAGAATGTGGCTCTGGCCCCAGTAGGAAGCCTGTCTCTGATTATTGCAGACTGTCACTTATTAGGGTCAAAAGAACACAACCGCCCATTGATGTAACCCAATGGAATGCCAGATTTCAGCGGATCTGTGCTAGGGTGACCAGATAGCAAGTGTGAAAAATAGGAGCCCTTTCTATGAGGGGTGGGGGAGGTTCGTTTTGTGTATAAGACAAAGCTTCTCATATCAGGACATCTGATCACCCGAAGCTATGCTGGCTTATAGCATCTGACCCATGATCTAGGGACTTTTTCAATATTATTACTTAGCTAGCTGTGTCCTGCCTGTGTCTAGAGCCTGAGAGAGCTGAACATGAAATCGTGTAAGTTGTCTGAGTTCACTAAAGTACTTAAGGAACTTTCTTGACAACCTCAGTAGCAAGGGGCCTCAGCCTGAAAGGGGCCTGGAAACAAGTCTCTCCCATTCTCAGCATCTCTCCTCCACATGAGGGACTAATGCATGCTGGAAGGACGTGGCCACAGTTCTTGTTTAACAAACTGCTTTGCAGAGGTGTCAGACACACCAGAGAAGTCCTGAGTGTTTAACTCTGGATGTTTTGCTCTGAGTGAAGAGTTCATTATTTTAGCAACAACAATGAAGAAAGAAAACACCCCTGCCCAAAATAATAGTCTTAAGTATACAACCTTGGAGCATTATAACGTCCACAGCCCCATCTGTCACAACCTCTTATTGCGTTCTTGGGATTCCCAGCACATATTTGTGCCCAGGGTCCTGCAGCAACTTGAAAAGAAATGGAATACATACAAGTAAAGCAAATTTTCTAGCCTCAAAAAGGACAGACGTGACTGTGTGTATGACATATATTCGTGCAACTAATGGAATCAAAATGGAAAGACACTAGAATTTCATTAGCTGTCTATTTTACAATGTGTCACTTTCCAATACATGTTGCTTAAATAAGTCCCCAAAACTAATGGCTCTACATTTCTTTTCTTTTAATGGAATCAGAACGGCATGGTTTCTTCATTATTTTAAGCAGAGTACTCTGTTCAGAGGAGAAGGGTTTGATTTTGAGGGATGGGCAGAAGAGTAAATGATCCTACTCACAGGTTTTCCTGATAGAACTCTAAAAGGACTGATTGTGTTATACAGCACCTGACCCATGACTAGGGCATATAGGTGCTTCTTAATACAAGTACTGTACAATAACGGAGGCTAAGGATCAGACACTACCCTCTACTACCACTGCATCTTTCTTGATCATAGTTAAGGATTTGAAGTTATTATTTCACTCTCCAGTAGAAGAGTGCACACAAGGGGGTCATAGGATGCTGTAGATCAGTGGTGCTCAACCTTTTTTTATTCACAACCCCCCGGGGCCAGGAAAATTTTTGATAAGCAAAAAAAAAAGTGCGGCCTCTTTAATTTTAAGCACCTGTCCGCTCCTCCCTTGACGCATGTGTGTCGGGCATCAAGCCAGGAAAACAAAATAGCAGCTGACCCGGCACTGCGACCCCCCCAAGGAAGACAGCCACAGGTTTCACACCACTGTAGTAGATATTGACTTTCCTTCAGTCCTGCTTAGTTCATGGGTAGGATAGAAAACAAAAGAATATTCTTTACTGTAAAAGAAGTTGAGAAGCTGCCTATGGGCAGCCTGAGGGCAAATATAAATAGCCTTTCCACTTTTCCAGCTTTCCTAGCCCTGATTCTCAACACAGTTGATCTGCAGAGCTGGGGTTTAGCAGTTTTCAAGAGTTCCATTAATGCTAGGACAGAAGCGAGCAGCTCAAAGTCCCTACTTCTCTACAACCCGCCCCCGTTGGAAAACTCTTCATGGACTTCAGTAGGTTCTAGATCAGGTTCCATGCCATGCTACAAAGGAAAGTAATTTACTGGGGTACATTGAGGAAAAGTGAACCTATTGCCCTCTGAATTGTTTTTGTATGTTGATGGGGGTAAAATTATCAGAGTGCAGTGGGAATTTGATAGATGTGTAGGAATAGAAGGCTCCATTCCTAAAAATCTCTTACTCTATAGAAGCTCGAAATGCATTAGTAGATACTTCTATCAATTTGTAATTTTCCATTGCTACTATACAGGCCATAGCTAGCTCTCAAACCCAGAACCCCTGACTTAGAAAATTATGGAGTGTAACAGATACATTCCTCAGTACTTTGTTCTTATTTTCCCTGGTTGGATTCTTCAACAGGATTATCCTTACACAAGACTTTGTCTCGTGAGCCTGTGCACTAGGTGGTGTCAGGTGTAGTCATCACCATATTCCAAAACTATCCATTCAGAGACTGGGTATAGCTCTAAATGGTAGCAGCAGCCTCAGAAAGTTTAACTCTGGTGGCAGATAGGATGACTGGTGGACAGAGTGCAATCCGTAAGTGCTTAACTTGTAAGAGTGTATCCAAGTATAACTCTGACCTCCAGCAAAGATTTTTTCCCCATGTTTATTTTGTAAATTTTGGGGGAGGAAGGGCAACCTTCTTCAGACTGAATTTCACACAGAAATCTACATCCAATATAAACAGAGGTGGTTTTAGATGTTAATAGGGTTTGGATATCAAAGCAGTATACAACTTGAAATGCATGTTTTTTCTGGCTAGAGAAATAATTTTGTTTCATTGGAAGCACAACCCTTAGGAGAAACCCACAAAACCTTCTTCAGCTCTGGGGTTTTTTTCCAGCCTCAGTTAACACAACAGTCTAGCTGTACTCAACTTTTCTTGTGTTTCCCATGGTTATTTCCATTAGTGGTAGAAACAGCATACCAGAGAGTGTTGACCTGCACTGGTTGCCTCTTCCAGCCTGTAATCTCACTCGCTCATGGTGCATCCAGAGGATAAGATGGTTAAAATGCTGATAGCGGCTGTGGTTTGGTCTAGACTTTCATTCCCACCGAGTTTAGTAATGATTGAGCTGTCCCAATAAAATCAGCTCTAGAAATTATTAAGAACAGAGGTCTCAAACTCCCGGCCCACCTGCCAGGCCTGGTCAGAGGCACTGCACAATCTGGCCAAGGCTCCCGGCAGGCTGGAGGGCAGGGGATCTGTCAGTTACCAACTCCCAAACCCTGCCTCCTTTCTGTTATCATTGTGCCCTCTCCCCACATGGCCATCCCCAAGCATGCAGCTCTGGATCATTGGTGATGCCTGGAGTGGTTGCACATCTCCTCCCTTACACTCTCCATGGTGGCATGAGCTGTGGGAAAACTCACTCCACTGTGCTCCCTTGGTGATCCCAAAAACACATGCTCAGGGGACAGGGTGTCATGGATAGAGGGGAGCGCGTGGTGAGGGCAGGAAGAGGCGGGACTTGGAGGCTGGTAAGGGACAGCCTCCCCTCCCCATCCTGGCTCGGTGGGAGTCCCAGGCCGGATTGCACAATTGCTCTGGACAGATTGGCCTGCAGGCTGGGAGTTTGAAAGCCATGCTTCAGAAGAAAAAAGCCCAGTGCAGACCAGGCCAGAGAATCTGAGCCTCTGATCTCAGAATTGTAATACAGGCAGTACCCGGGTTACGTACAAGATAGGGACTGTAGGTTTGTTCTTAAGTTGAATTTGTATGTAAGTCGGAACTGGTACATATTGTAGGGGAAACTCTAGCCAAACATTTCTCCAGAGCTCAGTTTTATTCTCCCACACCTCACTTCCCTCAGTCCTTTATTCTCAAGCTGAGGTGTCTGCTGAGAAAAGCCACTCCACGTCTCCCTGGTCTGCTGGGGGGGAGGTGCTAGCTTCGCGTCTCCCTGGTCTGCTGGGGGGAAGCAGCTAGTGCGGGGTTTCCTCACCCCGTTTGTAAGTAGGGATCTGATGTAAGTCGGATCCATGTAACCCGGGGACTGCCTGTACTTGAAATGACACTGGTGTGAGCAAGGACAGAATGAGTCATATCTCTCAAGACCCTCAAGGTTAAATGCTCAATGTGACTTGTTCCAATACAGTACCAATTGTAATACAAAGACACAGAAAATGGCAAGTTCCTTTAGAAACCAAGCATGGTTAGTACCTTGGTCAGTTGCACATATTCTAATATTTAGACCCATTTAGAAACATTTAAAATGATCTTAACTTTGCACTTCTTATGGCATTTCTTTAAACCACTCCTTGTGTTACAGTAGTCATGCCAAATGGTTAATAAAATCATGCACAGGGATGTTTTATCTACAGTCAGTTAATACTTCATAAAAATATTGTATGCTACATTAATCCTTCAAAAGCTAAACACATCAGGTTGGATTTTGATGCTAGAGTATTTTACCGTTGTTCATTCCACTTTCTGCTAAAAAAAAAGCATGTTTGAGAAGAAAGCATCAAGACAAGGCATGAAATAGTGATCGTAACTTACCAATGGAAACCAAGGCAACAAAAATGATCAGTTTGAGCGGGAACATGTTGCAGCTGTTTCACCACAGTTCTCTGCCCGAGATGAAGTTGTGAAGTTCAGCCTCTTTGCTATTTATGTGTTCCAGAGAGGGTGAGTCTGCCTAGTGAATCAGAGTTGAGGATGACGGAAGGCAGTATTGCCAGGTGAGGCAACACTGATGTTGAGGAGAAAAAAAGCTAACCGTTGATAAGTCCAGTTGTGAAATGAAACAGTGAGCCTCTTGCCACATAAAAACATGGAACTGGAAGAACAGCCTGGAAAATTGCACAGTTCTTGAGCAGCTGTATGGGAAAGGTGCCAAGAACACACAAGCTAGGCCCAGTGGATCCACAAGAAGTAGATCAGAGGAACCAAACCTTGGGGCTTTTTATGCACAATGAATAGCGCTTCTTATTCCTCTACCCATTGTTGTCTTCTCTTGATGTGGATGCTCATTATCTGCCTTCCAGTGGGGTCACTGAGAATACAGCAGACAATGTTAAATGCTGGGCGGATTAGTATAAACTTCCACTTAAAAATTCCATAGATAGTCTGTTGCTTTCAGAGGGAAAGTGCCATTTTCTCAGCCCATCCACTGTTCATCCTTTTCAGTGATGCAGTGGTACTGGCATGTAATGGTGAGGAGCAGCTGATGGTGGCTGGCTGGTGCTATCAAGTAATTAGTGACCTTTCTCCTTTCCCAATGCCGTGCTTGAAGCATAGGGCTCACTAAATGCTTGAAGAGCAGGGCTCGAACTCTTTCTTTATTCATTGGCCACAGTCCTCAGTTGATGGCCTTGAAAAGTAACCCTATAGCAATTACGGTCACCGTCTGTCACTTTGTTAGTTTCTGTGATCGAGTCAAAAAATTTGGGTTCCTCTGTCTCGTCAATGTGGGTGTAATGATACTGCCAGCTATGACCCTGAGCAGTTCAGCAATGATGACAGGGCTTTGGGAATGAGAATGAAGGAGTGGACAGACTTGTAAGACCCTTGGACAAGAGGGGTAGGGGGGGGCTGGCTTCTTGCTCCTAGAAGGGGTAGAGTCTCACAGGGAAGGGGCAGTGCCGGGGCAGCCAGCCCCCAGTGCTGCCCAGACCGTGCCCCACACACTTTCCCCACAGCCTTCGGTGTAGTCTGGAGCATGCCGCCTGGGCCTTTGGAGTGTGCCAGGTGAGGCTCTGGTGGCGATTTAAAGGGCCCAGGGCTCTAGCCTGTCCCACATTAGCAGAAGTGGCAGCCAGGAGTACTGAGCCCTTTTGAAATACTGGGCCCCAGGGCAGATGTCTCCTGTGTCACCCCAAACTCCAGGCAGGATTATGTGCATCAGGGAGACAAATGCCCAGCTCCACAGATGGTGTTGACAGAAGGGTTTTGGCTTCCTCAACCATGGGAAGGAGCAGCACTGAGAAAAGATGGGGTCCATCTGACCATGGGCATCTCTGCACCCTGATTCCTCATCCTTGTGAGGAGACAACAGGGCCATCAGAGCAATAACAGGGAAATAGTGGGGCGGGGAGAGAGGGGAATCTGTTCAGTACCTTAGATAACGTATACAAACACAAGGAGTATGGGGTATGAACAGGAACAGCTATGAGTACTGGTACCAAAGCTAAATTATGACCTAATTATCTTCACAGAGACTCAGTGGGATAAAACCTGAGAGTAGAATGTTGGAATAGAGAAGGATGTCTTAGGAAAGAGAGGCAGGGAATAAAGGGAGAGGGGGTTACATTATCTTGCAAGAATATATACACTCATTTTGAGGCCCAGAAGAGGTGAGAGGCAGGCCTGCTGAAAGTCTTTGGTAAAGATAAAAGGGAGACAAGGACGGCTGATGTTATGGTAAGGGCCCGCACCAAACCAGGCAGAGGAGGTAGAGGCAGCATTTCTAAAACAGATAACTGTCAGAAACAAATGAAGTGCAAGATTTGTAAATTCATGCCTCATTTGCATTTTTTATGGCCTTCATTCGCATTCTTCTTTCGAGAGAGGAATGCAGTCTAGATGTAGCCTTACAGACTAACATGGATACCACTCTGAAATTATAAATTTAATAATTCTAAGAAAGGGAAGGAGTTAAAGCAGCAAAATATGGACACTATCCTAAAATATAAAAGGCAGATGCTAACAAACTCACGATTCTGGACAGTAAGTTCTCACAGGAAGACAATCTGAAGGGATAAAGGCGTTGAGGAAAATTATCAATTTCTCTAGGAGACAATGTCAAATGCATATGTGCAAATTATCCTGATGCAAAAGAAAGACGAGGAATCAAAAGAGACTAATACAGCTGCATTAGGAGCACTTTAATGACCTGAAAATAAAAAAAGAATGCCACAAAAAATGGTGTACAAAAGACTAACACATGCATATAGGAACAAAATCTGAAAAGTCAAGGCATAAAATTAGTTACACCTAGGAAGAGACAGAAAAGGCTCTACTAAAAGGTTGTGGTGTGTGTGTGTGAAATACAAGGAGCAAGAAAAAATGAGAAATATCAGCCTCTACTCTCAAGGCCTGTATGTCCACTTCATTGAGATATTCAATTAGATTAGATTATTCAGTGACAATGCTAAAGTGTTTGTGAGATTATTTCACAGGTTGGATCTTCAACATAACATTAGGTATTTCAAAAATAGTATTGATTTTTTCCCCCCTCACTTCAGCAAGTCAAACGTATTTAGTGTGGCAAAGAAACTGATTCTGAGTGCCACTTTTTCCTCTGAGCTGTATTCAGTGCTTTTCTAAAATGGTTTAAAAATTTAAAAAGCTGATTTTCATGAATATCGAAGTTGTGAAGGCTACAGCTGTTTTTAGTAGTTACATATTAGGAACAAAATTATGTTTAGAAATGAGTGAAGAGCCAGCAAAGTGAGCTATTCAGTTCTGCTCCTGACAAGGGAATTGGTTAACTGCAGAATGAAACCAAATAAAATTTGGCTCTATCTAATCTTGTGCATGACCTCTAGAACAAAACTCAGGGATTTGTGCTTAACAAATTAGAATTTACTAGGTTGATGAGCTACAGAAGGAGGAACAATGAAGATGAAAAAAAAATCCTAAATGCCCATAAATATAAAACAAAGATGACATGTAATGCCGATAGAGGAATAAATAAGCTGTATCCAAAAAACTTGCATATTTGCCCACAACCTGCTTATATTGTAGTTTTATTTGAGATCCGGGAGGCTTATGGTACTTATTCAGTTTTCCAATTTTCTTGTAAAGATTTGGTCAAAAGTCACTTTGAAGCTATAATATACAATATACTGTACTCCTGAACTACTAAGTTCAGGTTGAAACACTCTAATTGAGCACTCTCTAGTCTGGCAAGATCTGTGGTCTGACATGATTTTAGTTAGCAAGATGTCAACTTATCAAGGGTGTAGCCAAGTTTCGGGTGGTTACATAAAGCTTGTTTCAGACACCAGTCCTGGCTCTGTGTTCTGTGCTGTTGTTTAGCTCTATTTTACCCAATACTAATCTTCTAAGAGACTAGTAAGTACAAGATAGGGACTGTAGGTTTGTCTTAAGTTGAATTTGTATGTAAGTCGGAACTGGTACATATTGTAGGGGAAACTCTAGCCAAACATTTCTCCAGAGCTCAGTTTTATTCTCCCACACCTCACTTCCCTCACTCCTTTATTCTCAAGCTGAAGTGTCTGCTGAGAAAAGCCGCTCCGCGTCTCCCTGGTCTATTGGGGAGGGGCGCTAGCTTCGCGTCTCCCTGGTCTGCTGGGGGGAAGCAGCTATTGTGGGGTTGCCTCACCCCGTTTGTAAGTAGGGATCTGATGTAAGTCGGATCCATGTAACCCGGGGACTGCCTGTACATATCTTCTAAGAGCCTAGTAATCAGTGTAAGTGTTGGTAATGCTGCTGGACAGTACTGATCTTTTGTGGTTCACCACATTCTCTGGTTTGGCTCCTGTGCTGGACTAGCGAGGTTCAATGCTGCTGGACAGTACTGATCTTTTGTGGGTCACCACATTCTCTGGTTTGGCTCTGGTGCTGGACTAGTGAGGTTCAACCTGTATTGGGGGATGTATAATGAGACAGGCCCTATTCTGATGCAAATATTGATTTAATTTGCTCCATTTTCAGGTTCCCACTTTCTGGAACTGAGCTACATCGAGAAAGTGGTATGTTTATTGTAAAGGGAGAGAATAGATGTGGGAAGACAAAAGCAAAGTTTTACGGCCTGTATATTCACAAAATGCAATCAGTGTGATTAAATCGGTATAAACCCTTTTAGTACAAATGTAATTCATTCATATAGACTATACAGGTGCTTATGGGTATTCCTGAAGAGAAAGGGTAATATGCTACATATGGACTCTGGACTTAAGTTATGAAAAACCTAAAATGTAATTAAAGTTTACAGACTAACATTTAATATTAAAAACCACAATTGAAAAAACACAAATTTCATAAGACAAATTCTCACGAGACTAATGGACACAGTGACCACTGTACAAAAGCTGGATGTATGCCAGGTGTTAAGTGTCCAGTTTGTTTATTGCCCTAACCCACAAGAACCAGGAGTTTAAATCTGATCCATGCTTACTCTCATTTTCTCTTTCTGAAGATAACATCCATTTCCAATCATAACTTTTGTTGCTGGCATGCTCCTGGCCATTGACTTGTAGAGGATTTCTATTTCTCAGGCCATATAAATGGAAATACTGAAGATCTGAGTCTTGCAAAGGCTTTTGTCAACAAATAACCAGGGAGATGCTAATAGTCATGGATATCAATTTAGCTGCATTGCCTTTTGCGTTGTAGATACATGGTCGGGCTGCCCAGTGGTAGCTACTCTTAGCATACTTCTTCAGAGTAGCTACCACTGCATGCTATTTGTGCATTATGGGAGAATGGTGTTTTCCTTGTTTTTTAAATGCAAATTCTGATGCAGATTTGAGTATGTTGGGTTCATCTGATGAACACCAAAACACTGACAGTCACCTGTATATCAGGTGAGCAAATCTTGTGGGAAATGCAAATTCTGATGCAGATTTGAGTGTGTTGGGTTCATCCTGATGAACACCAAAACACTGATGGTCACCTGTATATCAGGTGAGCT